TCTTCTTTGTCTCACCGTTGAAGAATAAAATTGGAATTTTCATGAGTTTTATCTTCATCTTATGAATTTCATTTGAATAATTTGTGTTTGTTTGTTTTATTATTAAAAGTATTTTTTTTTTTTGTAAATTAATCGGATGTTTCATATTAAACTGTGGAGTATATTTCTTTAACATCCCCATCGAGAATAGATTCAAGGGAGAATATAACTACTAATTGGGTCTAGACACATTGTAATGCCTATTAAATAGATAAATGTGAGTTGCAAATTAATTCAAAGCTCGCTAAACAAAGTATTAGAATAAAAGAATAATTCTGAGGGAGCGAAATAAGTCATGAACTAATTCAAGACTAGTTGCAACAAGTAATAAAATAAAAATAAAATGTACAATTAAATATCTCGAACCTAAAAGAGACAAAATAAATGGAATACTCTTAATAAGCTAGTATGCTTTAGGCGCGTGTCAACCAATAAATTATCGTGACTATGTACACATTAGCGTGACATAGTTATGATTTCCTAAATTGAAGCAAAGTATGCGTTCGCGCAACTTTGACAAAACAATCTTAAGAATAATAAAGTATTATTAATTGTGTACACGTACGCGCGAGATGATTCTTGACACACCAAACAAAACGAAACGCGTACGCGTGATTTGTTTCAAGATAATTTTATAATTACTAATAACCAAGCAATTAAAAGTTATTTAAGGTAAAAGTGCATAAATTTCATAGAACATAAAATATCCAGAATTAGTTAAGCCAGGTATAATTATTAAAGCGACCGTGCTAGAACCACGGAACTCGGGAGTGCCTCACACCTTCTCTCGGGTAACAGAATTACTTATCCGGACTTCTGTATTTCGCAAACTTAAACAGAGTCAATTTCCTTGAATTGGGATTTTATAATAAATGGTGACTTGGGTCACTGTAAATATTTATTCCAAGTGGCGGTTCTTTAAAATAAAATAAATTAATTTTTTTTAAATAATTTCACTTAAATTGGAAAAACTCCTTTATTTCCATCATCTCCCCCCAAAAAAGGAGGTGTGACAATCTTGAAAGATTTTATTTTCCTAGTAGCTTTAAAATGTGTGTGTTAGAGTTTAAATCGTTGTACGTTTATTATGAATTTATTAATAATGCATTAGCTTTATTCAATGTTTACCTAGTGAAATATGCATATCTTTTGAGATTTTAAATTTCAATAAATTTTTTTCGTTTATATGTAATATTAAAAATTTAATTTTTGGATAAGTTTTATCTATAAAAGCCAAAAAAATATTTAAACGCGAAATACAGTGATAGGTGTATAAAAGTCATTCACTATAAAAGCCAAAAAAATATCGGAACAACGAGACTGTTATAGAGAGGTTTGACTGTATAACTATATTTAGACATAATTTCTGCCACAGTGTTGGCTATCTTATTAATTATTGAAACTGATTAGTTATCCTCAACTAGAAATTTGATTTTTTTTTCTTTTTTTGAAGTTTAATATTACATGCTAAAATATCGTTTATAGATTCTTTTTATATTTGATTTCATAGTGAAGGAGGCAATGCGTGAAATTGACAAAAGGAGCAGCATGTTGTCTGATTATTCTTTCAAAAGATGACGTGAATCATCATGAATCATTTTCGAATATTATATATCAATGAAATTTTGTGTAGATTACGCTCGATTTAATTGTTCTTGAATTTTAAGTTTAAACAATTATTAAAACTCGTTGATTTATTTTCAATGACGTGGACTGTGGATAATGTAACACTATATACAATTCGTCAACTATTTCAATGATGCTTAGCTAACTAACTAATTCTTTGTCCTTTTTGTGTCAGTGATTTGCAATTTAGATTTTGAGTTTTTTAATTTTATTTTAATATTGTAATTTAGTCTGAACATATTTGGTTTTTGAAAAGAGGGAAAGGACAATCACATATTATGAAGACCCTCACCAATAGCCCAAGAAAACAATAGAAAAACATTTATTCTTCGTGTCAACAAGATCATTGTTTATCTAGTTTTTTAGGCATAAGGTTTCTTTCAAAATTACATCACCACAAGCCTTTGGTGGCTTCAAATATTTATTGTAGTTTATACAGTATCAGGTTCTTATATCCAACAACAACGACAAAAATACTGAAAATATTTGCTTGAGTTGGAATTGGTTTACAAGTTCACGCCTGCACTCAATTAAAGTCATGCACTATAAAGATGTTCATTTAGTGATTCTTGCGCGCTAATCTTCTATTTATAGTTCTAATTTTATCGGATGAATATTTTTGGTGAAGCAATGTCGAATGATCTACAGAATGCAACTGTATTAATAGCGTGGGGTAGTCACTTTAGCCTAGTAATTGAAAAATAATGAGTGTCATAAAGTTTTAAATTGTATAGGTGAAACTCCATGACATATATCGTAGTATGAAATTTGAAACTAAGTAACAGTGTCCATGGCTATTTTAAGTTGTAATGGCTGAAAAAGGCTATTTGTGAAGCAGGCTCCCCTCAAAGGCTCAAAACAATTCATAGAGAAGCTTTTGATCCATCAGGCTTGATGCTTATGTCTTGCTTATGAGATGAAACATTTGTTGCTTTGAGCCTAAAGCCCGAAGTGAATCTGCTAATTGCTTGTATATTTAATTTGAACTTCTCCATCTCCAACATCGCAACCTTATATATGATTAAAAAAAGAAGTGATACGTACTATTCAAGAGTCATGTGGCAGAATGGTTTGGAATTATATATATGTATCGACTTTCTCTACCTCTTGGTATCACCATTTTACTACCCTTAGTTAGCATACACAACGTCAATGCGGATTACTTGAAGCAGTATCTTGAAAAGTTTAACCAAATTTATATTTTATTAAATTATAGCAATAGCCATAAATATAATTGGTGTTTTCATCTTGTAAGGCAGTGGGAATACAAAAGAACCAAATAGCCAATTGAGTTAATATTAGTACTAGTATTTAGCTAATATTAATACTAGTATTTTATGAATTTGCTAATTTTAATAGCATTTTAGCTCTAAAAGGCCTAAATTGGCAGTTTCCTTCTTATATTTTTCATTATTTCTTGTACTTGATGAATTCCTATTAGATGCCATGAATATCTAAATAGTTAAAAAAAAAAAAAAAAAAAAAGACACTATAATAAAGCAACCACATCGAGTTGAACAAATTCATATGTTGGAGATTAGTGCAACAAAGTATTTGGGAATCGGAGCATGTCTCTAACGGTTATGAGGGGGCCAATTTTTAATTCGCAAAATTTTCGGAGTGATGGATTGTGGATTTTCCTGCAAATTAGGAAAGGGCAACAATAGGTTTTTCCTCTAAAATTTGGATCATAGTACAGGCTGATTAGTTAGTGCTACAAAAACACAAAAAGATAGTTTATTTTGTGCAATAAAAATAAAAATAAAAAAAGAGATATACTAATACGTATGCTTTTTTTTAATAGACAGGTCAAAATAGGGGCATTTGCATCTATACAAGCTTTTTGGGTCACGTTTTAACTTGTGCCCGCTTTGCAAAAAAATTGCAAGCGTACCAACTTTTTCGCATAACTTCAGCATAAGGGGCTGAAGTAGCAAAGGCAATCACGCAAAACTTCAGCATTCTAGTAGACAGGACTGAAGTAGCAAGTGTGCTGAACTAAGTGTGCTGAAGTTTTTGTTTGTAATTGCTGAACTTAAGCATAGTAGCTGAAGTTTTGTTCTCTATTTGCTGAATTTTTTGTTTGTAATTGCTGAAATTTTTGATTTTGTAACTGGCGAACTTCAGCTCTAGAGCTAAAGTTTTTGGTTTTGTAACTGGCGAACTTCAGCTGAAGTTTTTATTTTGTAACTGGCGAACTTCAGCTCTAGAGCTGAAGTTTTTTGTTTTTGTAACTGACGAACTTCAGCTCTAGAGCTGAAGTTTTTGTTTTGTAACTGGAGAGCTGAAGTTTTTGTTTTCTAACTGGTGAACTTCAGCTCTAGAGCTGAAGTTTTTGTTTTTGTAACTGGCGAACTTCAGCTTTAGAGCTGAAGTTTTTGTTTTGTAACTGGCGAACTTCAGCTCTAGAGCTGAAGTTTTTGCTATTTATTACTATGAATCCATAATAATCTTCAAAGCGGGAATCACATCGTATGGCAATCCACGACGATTTTCAAAGTGTGAATTCACATCATATAGCAATCTAAGTCCTTGTGAAATCAAACAGCTAGTATCATTGCCAAATTACTTGTCGCATTTGTGTTTTTAGTACTTACAATTAAAAGGAATTCTGAGTAATAGTAAGAAATATTTATTTAAAAGAGATAGCTGAAGAATAAACTTCGTCAAGAATATCTCCGCAGCCCATGTCAATTACTGGAACATTTTCACAATCAGCGACTTCAGAAAGGAGTGGCCTATCAGATTGAGGGCGGATATAACTTTGAGGAGGAGAAGGAGGAGGAGAGCTGAAGTTGTTTAAAAAGTGGGTACAAGTTAAAACTTTTTAAAAAAAAATGAGTATAGGTTAAATGGGGGCGACCAAATAGGGCGCCCCGTGCAATTTTTACGTCAAAATAGGTTGAGATAAGTTGGGTCAAAATGGACTGAATTCAATAAATAGGCAAGTCAATAACTAACCCAACTTTGGATGGGTTGGGCGGGTCATTTGGGCTTGGGCCAAATTTTACAGCCTTATATCCAGCTAAACAAAGCTCAAGCAGCTTACAGTAATCTCTAAGTTAAACTATTTTTATGCCCAAACGTAATCTACAAGTTTGTTAATGATTTGACTAAGCGAAAACAATTAAATTGACCAGACCCTGAGACCAGATCCAAGGAAAAATCATCTTGCAAATTATGCAACCAAAAGCCAGTTATGTCTCTTCAATTAACCAAAAAGATAAATATAAAAAAAAAAAGGTTGTACATTCTCAATGCTCAAAGAACCAAAATTGTTGTTAGGTATTAAAAGTTTACTTCATAAAACATACTAGCAATTTGCCACTTTAAAGTGAAATCCTTGAAGATAATAATGTTCATTAAATAGCCAAAATATGACAGGGTAACAAGCTTTTGCAGATCAATAAATTAGTGACGTCAATAAAAGTTTTGTACAAACTAATTGTAAGAGTATCTCCAGCAAACTGCAATACTACAACTACTACCTAGCATGCTGCTGCAATAATTGAGTATGCATAAACGATATCATGATACGAGCTACAAGGATGATAGCATCAACCAGAAAGCGAGGCCCCTGAGGATATCCATCTCCAAAAGAAATGGAGAAAACCCTCGCCTGCTCAAATTTAATTATCCCTTTGTTCTCATAATAGTAATGCTGCCTTTTCCTCCTTCAGTAGGAATTGTGGTCTTCCCCACGACAGGTTTACCAGAGAAAGCCGACTTGGGGTATGCAACACAAGGATCTACACTATTTTGTCCTGTCTTTGCTTTTGGTGTGCGTATCCGCTGGTTTATGTCTTTCAGAGTCACATCTCCGTGGACACCACACGGTTTAACAAAAGAAAACGGATACACAACAGAGGAGGCAACTTTTGGAGGAGCCCGCATATATGATTTCCTACCTGGTGGGGCGAACAAGTACACACAAGTTTAGAGACACAGCTCAGAGATTCTTCTATAGTGGTATTGAATAGTGAAGCAATATTCTGTGATGAAATATCATCCAAGAAGAACAAACCTTTGAAAACAACATTTTTACGAGTCTGCACAGGACGCTCTTGAACCACATTAGATTCACATTCAGGTGGAGTGTTGCAAATCTCTGCAAAGCAAAACAGAAAGAAATAGAGATGATAAATGAGCACCTCGTGGCAGATTGATAAGGAAAATAAGCTACTAAATTCTAGACAAGACGCGTCACTAACCTGAAATATCAAGCTGAATATCAGAGGCTGCACTGTTTCCAAAAAATAGTTCATCAGATTGATGTTTTTCTTTTCTTTCCAGAAAAATGATACAAGTTCTTAGGCAAAATTAATAACATACATATCCTCAGGGCTCAAATGCATCTGAGAATCGTTAAAACAACTAGCAACCCATCCTTCGGATGACTGATCCAGCCCCTCATTACCAGATGAAGACATGCCCTCTGATAAAAAATGAAATTAACATCTGAGAGGTCATACAAGAAATTAGTTGGTATCTGTCGAAGAACAAAAACGTACAATGGACCAACCTGAAAATCCCGAAACCCACTGTGACATTTCGGAGATAAATTCCTCAACAGAATTTTCAGTCTCCTAAAACATGGAACAAAAACAAAGATCATTTAATCACTTTAAAAAGTTACATGATTTGGGATGACAGACCTATATCAATAACTTGTTCAATTTCTTTTTGTAAGTCTTACTACAAGGGAAGAGTTAAAGTGGGGGACATCTTAAGTAAAAATCAAACACAGAGTAAATTATTTGGCAATCTTCTGAAAGTCAAGAATACTAGTTCTCATATCTGTTGTTTAATAACATGAATTTATAAGCCAACCTACAGTGAAAATACAGACTTGATTCCAAAAAGGGTTGTGACAGAACAGGTCAATGAGTTTAACACGAGAGATCAAGACACAGTAAGATATCAGTTGGTGCAACCCAAAGATGTGACAGTTTGAGGAATACATGAAAGCTGACCTGTGATTGTATAAATGACGATGATAGTTCCTCACTGCAAAGTGGTGCATCTGATGCTTCTGATTCAAACTGTAGCATTCTGCGCCTTTTCACTTGTGAGGATGACTCATTGTATCTCTGGGATTCCTTGTCATTGTTTTCTGTAAGCACAAAAGTGAGATACAGAAAATATTACAATTGTAAATAAAGACATAGTAACAATGTCAGAAAGCACCCAATGTCATGTTTGGATGTAAAGGCTGTTAAAGTATCCTCTGGCCAGAAGTACTTTGTGTGAAAGGACTTCAAGTAAAGCGGCCCAAAATTCCCTACCCTTGTCATCTCTCAATTTCAGTTTTTTAACACCGTAAAATTGACCACTATTGATTAAGGCATAAATAGGCCATAGTTTGCTCAGAGTTGGTGCGCGGAAGTGCTTTGTCACTTCATCCGGTGATAGTAATCATTTTAGCGATTACAACCTAACAGACCAGTTCAAACAAAGACTAATCACGAAGCCACCACTTTAAGCACTCCCGAAAATACATAAAACCAAGTCTAATATGGAACGAGCTATACGTAGATGCACGTTCATCCCGTAAGAAAGATTGAGTCAAACATCTTATATGACCTGGTTTTTAGATAGGCAAATGAAGATTAATTGATATGATTCTGGAACTAAGAATCAATTCAAATATTTCTAAATGAGAAGCCGAAAACGCTAAGTAAAAGAGGAGCTACAAGTACTTTATGAGAGCGATAATGCAGTATCATCTTACCATAGCTGTTAACATGGTAAGTCAAATCACCACAGGACTTGACTGGAGTATTTTCATCATCAAACATAAAGGAAATGTCTTCTTCATCTTTGCTCAACAAGCATTCAGATATATCTGTTCACATAGCAAAACACATACATCATCAGTAAAAGTTGGACACAACATTATTCTTGACTAAGCAGAAAGAACAAAAAAGGGAGCTTACCAATATCAGGATCATCTCCGAGACCATAACTGTCACGCCATCTCCACATGTCACTGTATACAAAAGCCAAACAGAGAATCTATTCAGTCCATTTATTTCTAGGAAAAACCAAATTCGCATCTTAGTGTTAGAAAATCCACAAGGGATATGCCACATTGTACTCAATGGTTTAATGAGAGAGCAATTATAGCAAAAAAGGACCCAAAATTAATATGCACAAACCAGGGTCACTAGCAAATAGCGTTAACGAATTTAGGAAATAAAGCAGTAAAATGTTTAGCAGTGCAGCATCAGATCTAAACAAGTAAACCATTTCTAGAAACACAGTGAAAAGCAACAACATGGCATACAAACTACATTAGAAGTCAGGTTCAGCATGACAGAAAAAACTTACAAAAAAAATGGAAATATTGCAGGAACCAAAATCAATGTCCTATCAATCTAAGTACTTAAGAAGTGTATCCATATAATAACAAATCAGGGAAAAAAAGAAGAAGCAAGAACTATACCTAAATCCCAAATAAATTGGGTAGGCTCTATGAATCATTACTGACCATGTTACTCCATTTAAATTTTTTTTATATATAAAAAATCCTTACTGACCACATTACTCCATTTTTTTTATTTTTTTATTGAAAAACAGATAGCAAAAATATAACTCCAATCTATTTCCCCAAACTGGTTCACTGTCAGTGAGTCCAAGATAAGCAAAACACATCTCCCATTTCAGCATTTCAGTTCTAAAAAAACAAACCCCAACAAAAAAAAAAAGGGGGGGCAAACAAATCTGTATCGACAAAGCAAACAGAAAAAAATAACAGTCCAAGAACAAAACAACCCAAAACAAAAAGAAAAACAAGTAGAAGGAATGACCTTTCACTGTTGAAATTCATTTTCTTGTATATGGATGTAAGTTCAACTGATACTGAAAGAATTTGTAAGACAGAGAAAAGGGCAACCAAGAAAAAGCAAAGGGGGCAGAAAATGAATTGACTGGTTGCAAAATCGAAAACCCCCCAATATCTCTCTTTATATAGTATTAGTACGTATATATACTTTAGACCATTAAGAATAGCCGTTGAAACAGATCACTCTGTAATAATAACATAAAGTGACTTGTTTTATTTATGCAATAAAAGCGCTTGCAGTTTTGGCAGGACCATTAAAAAGGAAAAAACTAAAGAAAAAAGAAAAGGTTTTGACTACGTGTAAAGCAAACGGATGTTAGTGGATGGAAGGTTTGATGGTTCGGGTCGGTCGGGTCGTAACAATGGTAATTCATGGACCTGAAAATTTTTGTTGCCCATTCATCGTGTAAAGTGTGACATGTCAGTTTTATACGTTATATCACTCGCAATCTCTGAGTTACTACTTGTACTGTATGACTTTTTCGACTCAAAGTATTGAATACTGTGAATCTATCATTTAAAAAGTTTAAATTGTTATTGAATTAAATATTTTTGTATATTTTATTATATTAAAAAGGTATGTCAAAATAGTTTAATGATAGCTTATGTTATAAGTTTAAGTGATTATGATAATTTTGACTAATCTAATCAACAATTAAGGATGTAATAAAACTATGAACATTTTTGACATCGAGTCTAGATAACCATTACGCTAGCGTCTGGTCATATTCTCAAATTTGTTTTGAAAAATCTGATTTGGGTGAAGTTTGGTTTAAAGGTGAAAATGTGTTTGGATATAAGCTTTCAAAATATATTTCACTTTTTTTTTAAAAATAAAAACATTAAACATGACTTATACCCACAAGTTCTAAAAATTATCACAAATAACCAACAGAACATTTATCAATAACATTCATTATATTATTGCAAACTATAGTCCTTAACATAAAAAAAATTTGGTATAAAATTATTATTTTTTATAATGAACTACATAATACACTATCAGATGACAGAGAAGACGAAGCAGCATTGTTACAAAATAATAAATTGTGGGCTCTTCTATAAAATACAAAAGTTTGGAGCATGTGTTACCCTCAAATCCGGATAACAATTGAATTTATATGGGGTTTTAAGGATCCGTGAACTAAAAGATACAAAAGGTTTAAGTTGAGAAAAAAAAAATAAAGACTCAACAATTGCTGTTAAAGTAAATAATCGCAGAATATAATATTGCTTAGAACGATTGTCCTTCATGCCCATAAGAATTTAGAGAGATCCCCTTTTATACATTCAGATTAAGGGTAAAAATAAGGTAGGTCAATTGATTACGTCGTGGATCCCTGTAATTACGCCTTAATGGCCTGAAGTGGTTGAGAAAATCACGTTTGGGCGAGATATCCGGCGACGCTTGGTTATCCGTTACGAGTCCGGCTTCCGACCTTGTGTGTTTCTCCATCCGGTGGTGACTCATATCGAGCTCTGTAACGGTCTCGAAATGACTCGACCTCGGTTGTAGACGTGGCCGTCGTTCTACCTTGCATCCAGGTCGGGTTCGATGGCCCCGACTTGCTCCGGACCGGACCCAACCCGGTCGGGCTCAAGCAAAAAAGGGTATCACCCAATACAGAGCAATTTTTAAAAAATATAATAGGCATATTTTGGGCCAAAACCAGCTCTTGAGCTGGTTTTGGGATGAGCTGGTTTTGGGATTTGGGTTTTGGATTTTGGCAATTCGTCAAAATATAGATAAAATTTATGGCCAAACATGTATTTGCCAAAAAAAAGTCCAAATATATTTTGGCAAAATCTATAGCCAAATGGGTCCTAAAACAACTAACTGGGATGTGTTTTCCAAATTTTCAAAATATAGTTCGTTTTGAAATGACTTTTTTCAAATAGATTTCCAGAATAATTACATTGAAGAGTCGTTTGTGGAAGGTAAAACCCACCCGTTAATTGTACATGCACTTAGAGTGCTTAATTAAGATTTATTTAGTGTAGGGCAAAATAAATGAGATAAATGCAAAAAGTAATGGAGAATATTATATAAAAGAAAGCAGTAGAAACTTTTATACAACTGGTGCATCACAAAACATGATACATTATAATTGATTCGTCGGGGCAGCCACTACAACATATGAACCAGATCTAAACAAAGAGATATATGTATTTACAACTAACAACAACAAAAATGGGGGAGAAAGCAATTCAAAAAGGATTCTAGCAAGTGATAAAAACTTAGTCACATCGTGTCTTTACACAAATCAATATACATATATATATATATA